GACATCTGACAATGCAAAATTACCCTGGTACTGCACTTGAATGTCAGCCCAGGTTATTTATTTAGGGAGTTCATTGATACCACGTCAACTAATTGTTGGGAGTCTGTTTTACACATATTCTGTTGTCCAGATTTAGAACATAAGAGCATCATGCGGGCAATAAATATAGTGCATCTTAGCATGTGAAGAATTGGTGGGATATGGTACTTGTCTGAGCTGCTCAGGGTGGTCCCTGTAAAGGAGTATGGTGGTCAAAGACATTTATGTGTGGGGAAATATTTTTCCAGATGCTGCCAACACAAACAACACAGCGATACAGATTGCATCATTAAGCGATGCAAATGTTTCATGCAAATATTTGTAGAATCTCATTGCCATGAAATCAACATGCTTCTCCGTGGCGACAACACAAACTATTCTACCCGTGGGCTACATTGACGTCGATAAATTTCAATGCAGTTTTCCGTATCCAACTTCGTAATTATATCGAGTGCAAGGATTATTATTTATAATGCAATGTTACTTACACGTCAAAATTTGAGGACAGAAACGCACAGAGACATATTCGCAAGTCACGAGTGAAGTAACTGTTAACCCACTATCCACAAGTTCACTTCTTGGAGCTGATAAGACCACAACAATGGCAATGACCATCTCTCTGGGAGGATTAGGGCTGTCAACTTGTTGGAAGGCAGGATTCAGAGCGAGATTGAAATCTTTCCACATCAAGTGATTTAGCACCATCCTCTGGTACATTTAAGTATTGCGACAATGTACAGTACAAACTTCTTTTTCCCAGAACAATGATTCATTACTAATACATGTGCGGTATGTAAAAAAAACAAGTTGAAGCAACACTGTTTCACCAGCAGTCGGTGATATTAATTAACCATGAACCCCCTTCCAGCAATGAATGGCTCAGTGGCTTGGATTTTCTGAGCCTTTGCACCCATTTTCCAAGTCATAACCAGTGTCTGTTGGCATTCATCTCAGTGTTAATTCCATTGCAGCACTCTTAATAAAAATAATAACAATAATAACACTTACATTTCCAAATAAATGAAGGATGTCTCCCAAAAAGTTACAGGTATTTTTTTAATCGGGTTTGTTTAATCTGATGATGTTTAATCTGGCTATTCTTTGATGTCTTTTTTTCCCTCCAATTTTCTTTCTTGAAGGCATTGACATCGGCTGGGATTTGGTGACCATCAGAACCCCAATGACAACTGTTACTGTAACAAGATCATAGTCACAGACATCTCCTACAACAGAGAACACGTCATCTACAAATAGTCCTGGTGATGATGACTATTCATAACTTTTGGTTGACCAAATCTGTAATGTTTCACTACTGCCGAAGGACTTGGATTACATTGGGTCCTTTTGCTTAATGGAACCCCATGTAAACATTCAAAATTGCAGGGTTTATTGAATACGTTATGGGGAAAAATCCCCCCAAAAGGAACTCTACACTCATTCATTTGGTTTAGTGCCCTCTGCTGTTCAACATGTTAATGAACTTCTAGAAAAAGAATGTTCTGTTGGGCCTCCTTGTGACGTTCACTAGCGATTGAATGACTGATGTTGCTCTGTGATGTCCAAGTCTAGTCAGGAGTAACTACTATAGACCTTTAATGATGAAAATGCTGAGATTGATTCATGACTGACCTCTTTACAAACCTATTTCTCATCCCTCAGTATCACAAACGTTGCCCCTTAATTACTCCATCATCCAAACGTTTATACGTCAGGATTATAACACAAATGAGTCATTTTGCCCATTAGTGAGATCATGAACTACTGAAAGACACAGTAATAAGTTTTGATTTTTAATGTGTCATAGAAGATACTCTATTCAAGTGAAAGGTCACCTTTACCTGCTGACAATTATTATCCAGGCTTCAATGGAAATAATTACCACTCGAGGGAACTTGTGGAATTATGCACCATTCCAAGTCAGAGCTTTGAGGGAAATCATAATTTCCAGTTACCTAATGAATGTTCCACTTGTACAACAAATAGTTTTTCGAAACTTAAAATTAACATACAGAGCTATTCATTTGCCAGGAATTGAGTTCTCCCCAGCTGTATCAGTAAACTTAACCTTGCACCGAGGACATCAACACCTGAAAAACCTGGCATATCAACCATGACATCTACTGCCAGGAACGTAACCTTTTATTCAGTGAAAAATTAGACATAGCAACCAATGTATGAATGAATTAAAAATGGATAGCAGGATCGAGAATAGGAAAGCTGAAGCNAAAAAAATTTAACCTCCCATGCACGACTTTTTAATCTTGAAGCAAATTCTCCCCATCCACTTACACCATATGATTTTGTGCTGGAACGCTCCCTGTGCTCTCTTCCGATTCCTCCCAGTAATCATGATTTTCCAGTTAACCTGACAAATTGATGAGCCAGTCAAACAGACACAATATAAGATTACTCAGAGAATAAGGAAGACTTAGAGTGGCATTCCATCCTGAGACACTCTACATTTGGTTATACCTCGCTCAGTAAAACCAAATCACAAATAGACATTTGCACCTGAGCTCTTTACACTCAGAGCATCTCCTGACAAACAGTCGAACAATGTGCAATCAAAGCAAAGAGAAGCAAGAATCAAACCACAAAAGTATCACTGTGCACGAATCCTCCCATGTTATTAAAGTCTATAGGAAAAGTGTCTGGGAATGCTGTGCTTCAAGTACATAATACCAGTGTAGACACCGCAGCATCCTATGAATCAATATATGGCTACATTTTTCAAAGCACCTTGAAAGTACATGTCTCTGAATGATTCAGAAATCCTTATCTGCCCCAACTGCAATTACCCGTTTATCTCACCTTTTTTTAAAAAAAGTGCATTGGTTTCAGTTCCTCAATCTTATCTTCAAAAAAGTTATTCCAAATTCTGAATTAAATCCGACATCTGATTCAAGATAAGATCCACCTCTGAACCATCAGACAACGGAGCAGGTCCCACTTAGCAGCAATCACCACCGAGCATCTCAGCTGAATGACCCCCTTCCACCTCATTTTTTAATTAATGATTTCAATTGTTCAATTCAAACCAACCTTTGCTCCTGAATCCTGATTAAATCTCTCAGGAACTCTAGGCCATTCGTTATCTGACACTTCTTAGCTCACATTCGTTCCAGTCTCTGCTTCCTTCATAATATCAACCTCCCTCTCTTCCTCAGAGAAGCTGATTTGCACCCAAAGAAATAGTGGGTCAATCACAACACACAAGTAAAAAATAAACAACAAAATGGTTACTTGCTGTTGACAAACAGTTGAAGCTAATTAATTTTACTAAAATTTTACTGCAAACGGTTGTGTAGTATGTACTCTCAACTGTTTGTTGTATTAAAAGCAATACGTTTACTGCTATAAGTCATCTTTACTTTAACAAAACGCATCTGTTTGCTGGATTATACTTGGTTAACATATCTGAAATTTGGAACAGAACTGCTCAGATCTGAATACAATAGTGCTGCTGGTCTGAAGCTTTAATTTATTCTCAAGTGGCAAGGAGAAATTTCCCAGAGCTGGTCTTCAATCTTTGCTCGTGGTTAATACTTCCTTCGGGAGATGATACAGGTTGTCCCATTGCGGTCAAATGGACTTGATGTGCCATTTACCCTTTTCTTTTCCTTTCGTACTTTACTTTAGGTTCTGAGAATAATTCTTGACGTCGTAATTGATAAAAGAATCAATGTTTACCACCGGGGAACACTCGTGTTAAACCTCTTATTATTTGATGGTTCTGAGGAGTGGATCAGTTTGACAATATTGCGGTGTGATGCCGTCTTTCCGGTTTATTGGGATCTGAGGTTGGCCGACCCCATTGCTGAGGGGGGCTGGGGTATTGGGGGGTGAGGGTGGGGTATTGTGCGGGGGGCGGGAGGGTATTAGGGTGGGTGGGGTATTGGGGGGATATAAGGTTGGGGTGTTGTGGGGGGATGTTAGGGTGAGGGAGGGTGGGGGGTATTGGGGGGTGAGGGAGGCTGTTGGGGGGTATTGGGGGTGAGGGAGGGTGGGGGGGTATTGGGGGTGAGGGAGGCTGTTGGGGGGGTATTGGGGGTGAGGGTGGGGGGGGATTGGGGGGTGAGGGAGGCTGTTGGGGGGGTATGGGGGTGAGGGTGGGGGGTATTGGGGGGTGAGGGAGGGTGGAGGGGGTATGGGGGTGAGGGTGGGGGGGATTGGGGGGTGAGGGAGGGTGGAGGGGGTATTGGGGGTGAGGGAGGCTGTTGGGGGGTATTGGGGGTGAGGGAGGGTGGGGGGGTATTGGGGGTGAGGGAGGGTGGGGGGGTATGGGGGTGAGGGTGGGGGGGGATTGGGGGGTGAGGGAGGCTGTTGGGGGGGTATTGGGGGTGAGGGTGGGGGGGGATTGGGGGGTGAGGGAGGCTGTTGGGGGGGGTATGGGGGTGAGGGTGGGGGGTATTGGGGGGTGAGGGAGGGTGGAGGGGGTATGGGGGTGAGGGTGGGGGGGGGATTGGGTGGTGGGGATGGGGGGGGTGGAGGGGGGTTTGGGGGTGAGGGAGGGGGGGTATGGGTGAGGGTGGGGGGGTATTGGGGGTGAGGGAGGCTGTTGGGGGGGTATGGGGGGGGTGGGGGGCATGGGGGTGAGGGAGGGGGGGTATTGGGGGTGAGGGTGGGATTGGGGGTGAGGGAGGGTGGGGGGGTATTGGGGGTGAGGGAGGGTGGGGGGGTATTGGGGAGTGAGGGTGGGGGCGGATTGGGGGGTGAGGGAGGGTGGGGGGGATATGGGGGTGAGGGTGGGGGGGGATTGGGGGGTGGGTGGGTGGATAGGGACTACATTTCCCAGGGTGCACTCGGGCGCGGGCGCAGGCGCAGTGCAGCGGGGGGAGGGGGGTGTCCCGCGCTGTGGTGATGGCGGCCCTGAAGATTGGCGCCGCGTAGTGCCCGAAAACAGCCTCCGCACAGAACAACCCGCAGCCGCCGCGGCTCTGGGTCCTGGTGCGCGGGAGGGCGGGGAGGGGTTGGCCCAGCGGCGGGAGGCGGGAGGCGAGCCCCGGGGATCAGGGCCTAGAGCCTGGGCCTGGGCCTGGCGGGGGCTGAGCTGAGCTGAGCTGCTGCCCGGGATCGTGTCGGTGTGGACCAGGTGCGGGAGAGAGGGAGACAACAGCGGAGTCTGACTCTTGTTACCGTTTAATATTATGTTTTGTTTCACACAGACTTCACAGTCGGTCCTTCTCACTCACTCTCTCTCTCTCTCACTCACTCACTCACACACACACACAGAGACCCTTAGAGCTCGGCTCCACCAGTCTGTGCTGGTGTTTATACCCCCATGTGAGCCCCCACCCCTCCCAATTAATCCCCCCTCCCCTCCCCCCCCCTTCTACTTATTCCTTTTCCCTTACGGTCTCTCATTAAGTCATTCTTATCAAATACGTCTGTCCGCTTCACCCACTGCTTCCGTCCGTCCGTCACTCAGTTCCACATTTCTCACCAACCTCTGCGTCAACAACAACAACAACAATAACAGGATTGTATTTACAGAGCGCCTTTCACGTCGGGAGGACGTCCCGAGGCGCTGGACAGTTGGGTCGGGACCCGAGCATTGGGGGGGGGAAATGGTCAGGGTGAGGGGAGGGAGGGAGCGAGGAGGGGGTAGAGAGTCGAGAGCGGAGCTGAAGGCTGAAGGTCAAAGAGAAAGGTCTTGAGACCGGCCTTGAAGGAGGAAAGGGAGGAGGCGGTGAAGGCACTGGGGATGGAGTTCCAGAGCCTCGGGGCTGAGAGGCTGAAGGCGCGGACACCGATGGTAGGGCGGTTGGGGCGGGGGATGTGGAGCAGACCGGAGCCAGAGGAATGGAGGGTACGGGCAGGCAGGTAGGGGGATAGTAGGTCGGAGAGGTAGGAGGGAGCGAGGCCGTGAATGGCCTTGTAGGTGAGGAATGGCCATGTCGGTGTAGGTAAAGAAGTCTTAACCCCCCACTTCCACCCCCCCCCCACCACCCACTCCCTTACCCTTTTTATATCTGTTACTGTCTTATGTTTATGTGCTTTAATGTACGGCACAGCAATTTTTTTGTGTTTGTTTTCCGTACTGTACACGTAGTTCGCTCCACGCCTGTTCAGCGTTGCGTTGCTGTGCGCACACTGACCTGCCACGTTCACCCACAAAATACAGTCAATCCATTTTACAGCATATCCCGCGAAGCGCTTTGAGATGCCTCGACACCCGTGATCGGGTGCGATATCAGATGCAAGCATTGTTATTGTTATGTTCCCCCACGGTCTGGATTCCTTGTGGAAAAGCTGGAGGCTGTATCGCCTCGAAACTGGCCATTCCGCCCCTCTTCTCTGTGGAGATGTTTATGCTCCTCTTGAGACTCCACCCCTCCACTCGAGAGAGAAATGAGCTTTCTTCCTCAGTGTCATTGTATTCGCCCTTTCATTTTCAGTGTAAATCTTCATTTTCAGTGTAAATCTGGAATCCATATTCTGTCTGTAACCTAAGCCTCCAGCTACAGGTGCCGCCTTGTGACCTGTTTTGTGCTCACTTCCTGCTCATCTATCAGGGTTGTGGGCTTTGTTTGGTTTACAGGAGTCACAATGGCACAGCGTGAGATGACAAGTGTAAAGTGAGAATAATGGACAGCAGTCAAGTGTAATTCGGTCACAGAGCTTCGTCATTGTTTCTGATCAGAAACAGAATTCCATCTGTTTTCATCATAACTCTGTTCACTACTTTTTATCATTCCCCACTCCACCTGCCTTGTATTCTTTTCATGCTTCCAAGTCTCACTCTATTACCAGGCTGAGAGCAGCAGAAAATCTAAACTTTTTCACTCTGCTCTTGCTTGAGATTACCCTTCGCCTAATGGCAGAGCAGAAACTTTCTGTGAACGGATTGAACCACAATCGTGGATCTACTTTGTGACATTCTTTGCCATAGGGAGCTGATTCTTCATTCACTGCGTCAATGTTTTATTTGTTAATTTACAAAACAAAGCTTACAATTTTGTATCACCTCTTCAGGCACACTTGGTAGGGTTGTGAGGCGTAGTGATGTAGGTAAAAAGGAAATAAAGCGTATTGTGACAGTCAAGCTGAAAGTATAACTTCATATTTCTAGCAATGTCATACAAATGCTGTTTCTTCTGATTTTTGTGTTGTGCGCATCTTTTTTCTTAGGCTTTAGTTTATTTTTTTTGTGTCTGTTTAGTTTCTTGTTCTATAATTTGTTTTAGCATCAGCAGATCATTTTGACCGCTTCTTCAATATGTATTATTTGAGGTAAAGAATGACAAAATATTTTGAATTTGGGAATAACCTGAAGCTTTTATCTATCATAGCAATGTTCAAACTGTTGGTAAACATTGTCAGAGCTCCTCTGATGGCTCAGTTTTAAGGATACCTGCTAATGTGAAACTGAGCTTTGACGATTTGATGTGTTCTATGTTAGTGGTTGTCAGTGTTACCTGTGCCGGACCTAAGTTCCCTTGGCAAGGGAAGGGAAAAAAATCAGCAAATAGTTATTGGTATCTTGAAAGCTGTTTAAGGAACCAGAAATGTTTTATGTTATATGTTGTGGATGTCAAAAGATACTCTGATGTCTCCCACGATTGCATATCTTAGCAGCATTAGCAGCATTGAGGAGAAAAAAAATTGTTCGGACAAGTGTTTGCCTGGAAATTGTTTGTTCATCACGCAAGATAAATGTTTTTGTTTCTGGATGCTGGACCTTTTGGGGGATTTGATTGTTTTGTGTGGATATTTGGCATTAGGAAGTTACCTAGCCTGCTAAAAGTGGTTCTCTGTTACCTGTTTTTCACATGTGGACTCGAGCTCTGGCTAATATTGCTGTTTTTCACACCATTTTTAGTCCCCCCCCCCCCCACCTTATCCCCGACACTGATGTCCATTTTGTTGCCTCCAAGATCATCAACACTGTGGTACATTTGGCATAAGCTTGGCAGATATCAAATGATCCAGGGTCCATGCTCCTAATCAAGACTATGCGATTCTTGTATAAAATTCATCTTTATGTGGAGATAATCATTCTTGCTTTTGATATAGCACCTTATCACGTCTTCAACAGTCTCAAAGCGTGACACAGCATATACTGTAAATATATTCTATATAATATATTTATAATATAAAGATGCTAGACAAAGACTAGATCAAGCTGTTTATTTCCATAACTGCATATCCTGCTGCCACTCACTGACTAGTATTGAATGTGAAGAATTGTTGCTTGGGCGAAGTGCTTGTGAAATGATACCTTTAGGAGGGGATGGGGGGAAACAAAATATGGTCCGTGAAACAGATTGCAGCCTCCAGCCACAGTTGGCAAAAATTGAGCTTGAATTCCTGAGTGTGCAAAGCCCCATTTTGTCTCTGGTAAATGGTCTGTTGCATATTTGTATGAACAACTCAGTGTGATACTTTATTTATTAAATCACTGTGGATTCCATCTCATGAACTCAGTTATCCCAGCAGTTTCAGTCTGTTTGTGAGCTGGTGCAGAACATTGACTTTAGGATTTTGTTTTATATCCTCTGCATAATGCGCTGTCCACTGCTGGTCTGAATTTCTTGCGCATAGTTTAAACTCCTGCATGGCGGTGGCTGTTGAGCTCTACAGTTAAGGTTTACATAATTTGTAGAATTTGAATGTTTTAAGAGATTATTGTTTTCAGTTATTTTTTAAAAAAACAATAACCTACTGACAATCCCCACCTTCATGTATTTTGTTTTAACAGTTGTGCTGTGGTGGGGAATGGAGGCTTTACTGGAAGCAATGCAGAATCATGTACACGGAGGGTAAGTAAAATGACTGGCTTGTCTTCTGTCAGTAATTTGTTCATTTGTGCCAATTAATAAATACTGATTCTGGTGTGCAGTTTGCACATTAATGTGTTGTAAGTGTTTTAGTGATATTGATGAAATATGATTGCACCTGATGGAGAATATAAAAGGAAACATTAAAGTTAAATTTACTTGCCAGATTTGGAAGTCGTATATAATTTTTTTTTAAAAAGCTAGGGGAGAGAGAGTATGTGTGTGAGGCAGGAAAGAAAATGGAAGTGAGAGAGTTTTGCTGACATTCACCATATTTAATTTGTAGCAATACCCTCACTGGCTGTGAGGCTGAGTTACAAGAGTTGATGAGACAGATTGATATCATGGTGGCTAACAAGAAATCCGAATGGGAAACTCAGTTGCAGGCTGTGGAAAACACCCTGGATGTCAGAGAACGGGAGCTCACTGCGACTCAAGCTTTACTGGACCAGAAATGCAAAGAGGTAGCTTTCATGTGCCCTCCTGGTAAACCTTATGCACTCATATTTCCTCATTGGTAACTTCCACAAGTTGTCATTTAATCCACAAATATAGGTGTGGATTAAGGGAATAGGAAGGGAGGGGGCTTGTGTGGAGGATGAACACTCACAAGGGTCAGGTGGGGAAAATGGCCTGTTTCCTTGCTGTATCGTCTAATGTAAAAATATTTTTCTCTCTAGCACTGAACTGTCGTCTTTAGCAAATGTTTTTGCCATAAGGTTAGGACTGGACTGTACAAGGAAATTACTGCTGCTTGCAGCATATCCAATAACTTGTGCAAAACCTAAATATTTTTCATCTTTGAAGTATTTTTTGAAGTTGGACAGAGGAAAGTTTTCTGAGTGTTGTATGTAAAGAGAGTGTGAATGATATCATATACAAATATGTTTTTGTGAAAAGGACTCCTACCCTGTGAATTTTGCATTGCTACAGGTATGGCTTCCATGATACAAACTTATTGCAGGCAACATAGCGCCATTGTTGGAACATTGCATAAAATGGGCTTGTCAGAAAACCCCCCATTGAGACGACGCCACTCTTTACAGGAGAAAGTAAGTGCGGGGGGAGGAACTTTCAGTCTGAAGTACTCCACCCATCTAGTGAACAAAAAACATCAGTTTCAGTACAGAGTTCTGTAACTAATATCTCCAAAGTGCAGGGTGACTGGCATCCTTTTCATATCCCGATTACCTATTGGGAGGTTTCAGAGAGTGGAAAATTAATTTCATGGGGAACTGAACAGCAGTTACATTAATGTCCAGGTAGTTGATGTTTTCTATTTGCTGCAGAAGGAACCTGCTGTATAATGATTCCTCGGTAATTTGAGGTCTGAAACAATAGGGTGGGGAACAGAGGAGTCGAGGAAAAGAGATTCAAAATCAAATTCTTCCTGTGATAACTGGATGGGTGCAGTAATTTCCATCGGAAGTACTTTCTCCTACATTTACCTTTTCCTTTAAACATGCAACTGAACAGTCTCTCGCAGCCTACTACTACATTGTGTTCAATGCTAATTCGGGCCTCTAGATGGCATTACTGCTTTGCAATGTCTGATCTAATTTGAAAAGTTTGCACTAAATATTCCGACTTTCAAGTTTGTCTTCAAAGCAAGAGATTTTTTTTGCATCAATTATTTTCCCTTTGCTATTTTTTCCCTTTCTACCCCTTAAAGATATTTTGCTCCTCGTTTGCCTCCTCTATTGTGTGATTCTACAAGTGTTGGATACCCTCCAGTATGTTGCCTAAGTTTGTTTATTGTTTAACAGATGGGGATTCTGCAACACCAGTTGCTCAAAATGGAAAAGGTTCAGCAGGGCATGGTGGTGCAGTATGAAAGCCAGCTGAAGAATTTTCAGGAAGAGGTAGAGTAAAATGTCAAATATGTTTTATCAAAAATCTCAGCCGTGGATCTATGACTGAAGATCCCATAAGTGGAGCTTGGGCTCCAATAGGAACCATCTTTTATCACTTGACCGACCGAGTTATGAGCCTGTCATGATGTGTGTCTATTTTATTTGGGTGGGAAGAGGGGAGGTGATAACTGGCTGTGAATTAGTTAAATGACTGATGTTAAGGAAATTGCAAAATTGCCTTATTTATGATCTCCAAAGTCTGCAATTGGGCTACAACCCGAAAAAAACTCAGCAAATTTGTTTAATGCTTTACTAAAAGGTTTCATTCAGTTTTCCTTCTAGTGTACAGTTTCATGGTAATGTAGTGTTTTAGAGCTCCAAAACAGTTTGCTATGGAGAAGCAGAATTCAGCTTATTACAAAAAGATAATGTTGTCTTCTGGTTTGTAACTGATGTATATTGAGGAAATGAGATGGGATTAGAGCAAAAAAGCTTCTCTTGAAAACCATATTTTCTCCAATTTTATTTTGTAATCAGTCTTACCTGTTTTCAGCTTGGGGAGTTGATGAAAAGCTACAAGAAGTTGCAGAAACGACAGTTGAAGGAAGAGAGGGAGGAAATCAAGAGCAGGGAAGGAAATAAAGAAAGCAAATCTGAACTCACCAGGTTGAACAAGAAGATTGAGGTAAACAAACTCATAAAGATTTTATAAATGGTGTGAAGGCCGATTTTAAAAATCTCAAATGTACAGCCATTTGAATAATATCTGAAAGAGGAAGGTAGAGTGATGTTAAGTAGAGTCCTGATTGAAGGTCATACTTGATGACAGTATGAAATTTGATTGGTTTGGGTTCAGTGTTTGAATGTAATGGTTTGAAAACTTTCTGTAATTTCAAAGGTTGTTTTAAGCTCTCCTGAAGGCTTAGTCGAAGTCATGACTGAAACTGAACTGTGCAAACCAAAAAGATGCTGAAATTTTGTTCATAATTCTTTACCCACTCTTCTTCCTTGCCATTCAAAAGAGATCATCTCTAGAAACGTGGATCATTTTTTGTGATGAAGAGCTGGAATCCTGGCTTGTTTTCTTTTACAACTGCTTCCAAATTGATTTCAGGAATTCCGACAGAAGTCGCTGGATTGGGACAAGCAGAGACTTCAGTATCATCAGCAGGTGGCTTCTCTGGAAGAGCAAAGAAAGTTGCTGTTGGAGCAGTGCAAAGTCGTGCAGGTACAGCACTTTCTACAAAAGGGTCTGGTTACAGGGAATGTGTCAAATGTGTTAGGATCGACTTTTTATTTTTGACTATTGCTCTCTTTAATTTTTTTTTTACGGCTTTTATACAGAAAAATGTAAACTGCTGAATGATTTTTTGGTAATAATCTCATCAAAGTGTTTGGATGATCTAAACTGCAGTGGCAAAGCTTGAGAGGTTAACAATTGCCCCAATTATCTCAACCACTATATGCGGCTGCCATACACCTGATATCTGTTCTTGAACTTTTATTTTTGTTGTTCCTGTTGGTATTTTTGCTTATTTGCTACGAGATGGTGTTTTAATGAAGATGGTGAGTGTGACCAGGTGATGGAAGCTTGTGGACATCGGTGCCAAATCTGTTCTCTGTTGATGCCTGCTTTTGTTCTACAGGGGTACAAACTATTTCCAATTGAAGCACGGTTGGAGGCATACAGTGTTTCAGAGTGGTGCAGATGTGTAATGCAGTTCAGGGTTTCAGCAACCGCCTTTGCCCTGTTAAATGTCTGAGAACATCTGTTGTCTGTTAGTTATAGTTTTGTAGGAGCTGAGCAGCTAAGTGGGCCGATGTTGTGCAATATAATGGTAGAAATTCCACAACAGCGGTGGTTCAGGTTGTTATCGGAACTCGGTATTTGAACTTTCACGAAAAACACTGGACCGATTAAACAACTGTTTTACAATTGTTTTGAGACTTTTAACAGCCCAATTTCATCCATTGATCACATAAATGTGAAAAACGAAATAACTTTAGTTCAGTTTACATGGTCTTAACTTCGAATTTTAAGTGAATGCAGCACTGTATCGTGCACACCTGGCTGAGATTAAGAAAAAGAATATGTTATAATTTGTTTTGTCTCATACCAGCTGGAATTTGTCACCGGTTCTTGCTGTCTGTTATGTTAGATCTTAGAGTTGCTGCAGGCTTCATGCAGCTTATATTTAAAGGAATATGCCAGGAATGGAGCTTTGTGATTACCTCCTCAAGTATAAAAAATACCCACTTTTGAAAGAAAAAGCTTGCCACTTGATGCCTCACTTCCTAAAATTTTTTGGTGGTTATGGGGCTGAGGCACAGAAAGTCTTTATGGGTTAACCCCAACTCTCACCATCCCCTGTCTTTTTGAAGGTAATAATTAGGCTTCCCACCCGCAAAGAGTCATTTACTTTCGTTAATTGAGTTATTTGCAAGGTGGTGCAATTAGTGGCTGAATTTTGTGGAAGATACTATATTACAATGCTGATGAATTGATTTAAAAATTCAGTTTCAAAGCAGTTGCTTTCTCTTACTGAGCAGTTAGCAGCCTTTTGTTAGTAAATGACAGTGTTGTGTTGCTTACGACCACTGGATTTGAAGCATGGGGATATGTGTGGGAGGATCAATACCAAGAGCCTTTTTAAATTGCTTTTTATTATAAGGGACTTGCAAGTGATTAAGCTGAAGTGCATTTTTTCTGTGGCTCTTTTGTTGTGCCGAAAAAATGAAATGTATGCCCTATTTATAATGTAGGACACTTCAGAATATCACTTGTACACGTGCAATTGAGTCATGAGTTGCACCTATTAGTTTCTGGCTGCAAAACCTTCACAGAGACGAGCGATGCCAGCGGTGCATTGTTGGCCTGTCAGGGTGGGCTTCCTGTTGGCTTCCTGTTTAGCCCACGGTGGTCAGCACACTCAGTGACAGCAGGGTGCACTGTTTTTATTGTTTCAGCTGCTGTTGCCTCTGCATGTGGAATGCGTATGCACATCGGGACAAGATAGAAAGTGCCAGCAGCAGGATACTTGTCGTATAAATGTCGTATTGTTGTTTAACATGCAGAGCGTCTCGGTTTTAGTTTATAGACAGCAATAAATGGTGAGACATTCAGTGACGGGCTGCTGGCTGGTCCATGTTTCCTCTTTTATTTGGCTTCAGAGAAAAGCTGCAGGTGTAGTAGATCAGTAATTAAAGCCTAAAATTAAAAGAAGTGTCAAAAATAAATATTAAAAGTTCAGGAGTGGAGAGGTAAATTTTAGTGCTTCTGTCCTGTTTTTCTGCCTTTGAATTAAATATTGTATGGGGTGGAAAAGGTCCTTTTGAGTAGAAAATCTTTTCAATAAATGCATTCCTTTTCCCATATGTTCCCATTGAATAGAGAAAAATCTAATTGAAATGATTTGGCTGGCTGAATTGTGAGCATCGTTATGGTATGATTTGACCTGTATGGAGTGATTCGTTTTAATTGGCAAGGTGGTTTGATTTCAGCCTTTTCTGTAGAGTTTTGTGTTTTTATTTGCTCTTAAGCCTTGTTTCTTTGTTTGTGCTTCCCTTCTGTTTTGTCCTCCCCATCAGCAACAGACTGTAAAGTATCAGACTCAGCTCAGTAGTCAGAAACAGCTCATTGAACAGAAGGAACGACTCAGTCAATCAGAAATTCAGCATTTGAAGAACCAGTTGGAGCGAGCCAATGACACAATCTGTGCAAATGACATGTCCTCAGAGCGCCTGGACATGAGCATAGACAAATTAAAAGGAGCGAACCAACATCTTAAAGAGGATCAGTGTCAGCTCCAGGAAGAACTGCGACAATTGAAAAAACTTGTACAGGTTGGAGGAGACCGCTTTCCTGATTGAGATTTATTTCCTTTTGTGAAAAAGGGCCCATTTAAGATTATTTGACAAAATGGGCACGATTCCTACTTTCACAAACCGGAAATAAAAACAGAGGGAGGGGGAGGGGTGATGATCCATGATTAGATAATGAATGGAATTGGTGTGGTGCATGTGAAGAAATGATTTGTGCCAGCAAATTAGGAAATCTGAATACAAATTGAAGAAGCAAAGAGTGAGGAATAGCTTTGTGTTGACTTATGCAATAAACAGCAATCTAGTGCTATTATACTGACTTGAGCTATTGCAATTGAATTGCAGTTTGAGTTTGTGGGACTTGGGGGGGAAAAAACAGTAAATGGTTGTGGCCTGAAACAAGATCTAGACAGTGAGACACTCTAGGTCTCATTTTTTTTGATTCACTCTTTTGAGTTGATAGTTTTCTTATTTACAAAATAATAATCCTGATCCTTTCATTTGATATAGCATCGTACCACATTGTGAAGATGTCTCAAAGCACTTTACAGAATGTTACTGTGAAGTGTAGCAACTGTGTATTTGTAGGCAAACCTTCACATTTGATCCAATGAGCCTTTGCTGATGTGAGATCCTTCACTTGTGTGCATTAATCTCAATTCATGAAATAATAGACATCCAATCTCATTGAATCAGAGAGACTAGAGGAACGAAATCTACGTGTATTCTGTTCATAAAGATGTAAATGTGGGTCTGGGAGAAGAGAAGATGGTGCAATCAGAGCTTTTGAACATGTGAAAGGAATCGTTGCATCTGGAAGTTCTGCTGAATTTTAGAGAATAACCAAAAAAAGTGACCTTGAGTGCTGGTAACTCGTAGGGAAGACTGCCCGTGAAGCCATTCATTAAAAAAGGAAATAAATAGATTCCTGACTTAACCCATGAACAGAGGGATACAAGCTTAATCATAATAGACGTAGACGAAAATGATCTGATCTGGTCATGGATGTATTTAAATAGAGTAAGCAAGGTGGAACTGAATGGCCTTTACATATGTCTAGATCTTGTGGTATTTTATGCAACACCTATGTTTTTATATCTCAAACTTATTTCTCTTCATACATTTTGATGAAAGGCACTGATGTACTTCATTTAACAAAAGTGTCATCTTCAAATGCTATTTACAACCTTAATGTGTACTCTTCATGCTTTGACTATTACAAAGTAGTCAGCAGTTTGCAGGGGGTCGATTGTTCATTGTTGTGCCAGTTTCCATAATGTTAAATCTGCTAAGGCTGTAAATAGTTTTATTCTCAGCTGACACTTCACTGAGTTGTCTGGTGATGGACCAAAAGACATGAAAGTTCTTTTGTTGAGATTTGTAGATTAGCTGAAAAAGCAATCTTCGATGGAACTGTGTCAAACTGGGATTGCTTTGTGAAAATAAAGGGCAATTTTCCATGACTTCATTTCAATGTTTTCCATTTAAAATATTTCCATGTTACAGGCAGCAGGAATTTACAATTGCAAGCAGTATACATAGAGCCTCAAATTAAATTATATTAAATATCAGTGATAATTGAAGAGATAAATGTGGAAACTTTGCAAAACTATCATAATATAGTATATCTATCTCAGGTTTGATATGATCTAAAAGATTGTGTTGGAACTCTCAAGGTCAAGTTTGGTACAATTAACTATTGTTTTTCATTCTGGTGCATTAATGTATAAATGCATCAGCTGTTGTAGTACTGAATCATACAGATCAGTATGATCTTGATCTGTACTGAGTTAACAGATCTCAGAATGATTGTGGGGCACTGCAATTATTTTCTGCCCCCTGGTCTGGAGAGATGAAAATTAGCCAGGGTTCCCACTCCTGATGGTGAAACATGCAACCCTTTTTGGAAAGTGGTGAATTGTTTTGTGCCACGTTATGTTTATGTGAAGAGCTGCGCTAATACAGCCTTGGGACGCAACAGATTGTTAACTGCGCATATGCAGTTTAAATATTGCAAGTTTTTTCTCTTTTCCTCTCAGTTTAGCAATCACTAACCACACCATTCAGTTAAAATGACTACGTCTCTTTGCAATTTTATGTATAGGACCTGGAAAATTAAGTGTTTTCAAAAGTGAAATCCTGCCCAGTACAAGAAGTATGTTTTTTCATTTTAGAAAGGAAAGATTCCATTTTTCATGTTAGGGCTGTTTAAGGTTTGAATGACCCTGGTGAAAACTACTCTGTTGGAATTATTTTGAAAATGTCCTTACTTAACAGACATTAACACAGGAAAATAAGGAACTGAACACCATGCTCCGGTCACAAGAGGACATCATTCAGAATGCAGAACATCAACAGCAGCAATTGCACAAGGAGCTGGCAAGGACCAATGAGCTCCTTAATGCCATGGAGATAGCTGCCAGGTAAATGGTTGATAGAATGATACAAAGTTAGGTAGGGTAGTAAATAGTGAGGAGGACTGTAACCAACTGCAAGCCGACATACACAGAAGGGTGGAATGGACTGACATGTGGCAGATGGATTTCAATGTGGATAAGTGTGAGGTGATACACTTAGGTAGGAAGAATGATAGAAGGCAATATAGGTTTGGTAGCTCAATCTTAAGGGGGGTGAACGTACAGAGAGATCTGGGTGTTCAAGTAAGCGAATCATTAAAGGTAGCGGGGCAGGTAGATAAGGCAGTAAAAAAGGCATTTGGTGTACTGAGGTTTATTAGTAGGGGCATAGAGTATAAGAGTAGGGAGGCTATACAAAACATTGGTTAGGCCTCAGCTGGAGTACTGCGTCCAGTTCTGGGCACCTTACTTCAGGAAGGACCTTAAGGCACTGGAAAGGGTGCAGAGGAGATTCACGAGAATGATACCAGGAATGGGGAACCTTAGCTATGAGGACAGGCTGGAGAAGTTAGGACTTTTCCCATTAGAGCAGAGAAGGTTACGCGGGGACCTGATAGAGGTCTTCAAGATCATGAAAGGTTTCGACAGGTGAGATAGGGACAAGCTGTTTCCGCTGGTAGGTGTGTCTGTGACCCATGGTCACATTCTTAAGATATCTACCAAAAGAAGCAGAGGGGAGGTTAGAAGAAATTTTTTCACTCAGCGAGTTGTTCGAATTTGGAATGATCTGCCTGAAAGGGTAGTGAAGTCCGATTCGATAACAGCTTTTAAGAGAGAACTGGATAGGTATCTGGGGAAGACAGGTTTGCAGGGTTATGGGGAGAAAGCTGGTGATTGGGGTTAGTGAAAGTGACTTGCTCTGTCAAAGAGCCGCACAGACTCGATGGGCCGAATGGCCTCCTTCTGTGCCGTAACATTCTATGAATGGTGGTGTCCAGTTACTGCTTGTCAGTTTAAGTGGTTTGGGTAATGCAACAACCTACTGTACATCAGTGGTTGAATACTTAATGCTTTTGTAGAGCCTTCAAATCTCTGGAAATTCCCAGAAAGCTTTTGATTTTTAAAAATATAAGCTTCCACTTCCCAGGCACTCATCACCTCATATCATCTCTCCCCCACCACTCGCCATCCCCCCCCCCCCCCCCCCCGCCAACAATGTCATGAGTCATCGCAACCGTGTAAGACTGCTTGCTACAAGGATTGGACAACTGCAGCAATAAAGGCAGATGTTCCAAATACCGTTTTCATAATCTCAACAGCGAAAAAAGAGATGGGAGTTTCTCCTGGTGTCCCCCTGTCTTTTGAAGCTGATAGTATTTTTCAAAAGAAATCTTGTACTCTATGTCTTAGGAAATCATTGGAGGAAAGCTTGCTGCTTCATCAGTCCAGTGATGTCACCCATAGCCAGACTGAGTTACAGCGTGTGCAAGTGCAACTCCAGGCAAGCCTAAAGGGTGAGGAGATCCTAAAGGCTGAAGTTACACATCTTCAGAAAAGGTAAATGCTTGGCCATTTTCAAAGATGGAACATGACCTGAATGAAAACTAGGAAAGCTGAATTACTTTGTTTGCTTTCTGCTCTTTGTTAGCCATGTAATGAAGAAACTTTGAGCATCATTAATATTAGTGTTTTGAACTGAGCTTTGTGTCTGGGAACAATATTATTCATTGGGTAGTACATTTTGGCATGGTTTGGAAAGAATTGCATTCCTATACGTTTACTACAGGATTTTGAGTTTGGTCTGGGCTGATACTCCAGTGCTGCATTGTTGGAGATACTGTCCTTTGAATGAAACATGACATCAAGTTCTTGTGTCCCTGTTCAGATGGAATGTGAAAGTTCCGATTTCACTATTTTAAAGAGTAAGCGTCTCTCTTGATGTGTTGGTCAAGCATTCCCCAGATAAAATTAGTTATTAGTTGCATGGCTGTTTGTGGGACTTTACTGTGTGTAAATTGGTTGCCACTTTCACCGACAAAATGCAGTCACTACACCTTATAGTAAACTTTGTGAAGCACTTTGAAACGTTTCAGCGTAAATCACTATATCAGATGCTTGAATTATTTTTAAGTATCTCAGCATTAACAGTACTTGCTTTGACACAAATAAACATTTAGTATGGATGTAATCATTGAATCATATACTGACTAATCAATAACTGTGTTTAGCTATTGAATTAACACTGTTCCTATTTTGTTATAAGAAATGATCTGTGTACTTCATAGCTATAAAATATTATGAATTTTAGAATCAAACAACAATGGACTCCCAATAATGTCAGGTAAACTGTATCTATGAGTTGAATATGCAGTTAGTTTTTTTTCATTTTGAAAGCCATTTCAAAAATGTTTTTAGTTTAGAATCATCAAATGCTCAATGCATACGATTAACTGAAGAAATTACCAGGAGACATGATGAAATGCGACAAATTGAAGAAGATCACAGGAAATGCAAGCAGGACATTAAAAAGGTAGTATGTCAATGTGAAGGATGTTGCATTATCTTTATTCCTCAATGGGAATGCTATACATCCAGTGTGTCAATTGCCTGATTTATTTGGGGGTAAAAATAAAACGTTTCTCTGACTGTTGTATAATGTCCCCATTCATATCTCCTACCTGGCCCCAAATGTTTCAGATCTGTTCTAAATTGCATTCCCTCTCTCCTTGTTTTCACTGTTTGATCCTGTTTGTTATGTGCTATGAAACAAATATGATTTACACTTATTGAAAGGATTTTCTACTCAAAATTACCTTTTCCACCACCATTCAATATTTAATTCAAAAGCAGGAAAAGTAAATTACATTGGCTTCAGCCAAATTCTAAATATCACTTTGTTATTCCTCAGATTGAAATTGCACTTTATCACTTCGTGGTACAACTTGTCATTTCACCAGAATAGTACCTGCAAAGCAGTGAAATTTTGATGCCTCTCCCTTACCTTAAAGAGACAAAATTATCAGTTTGAAAAAGTCCTTTGTTTAATTGGAATCATTTCTTTTGAAAAGCTAAGAGACCAGCTGAATCATGGTGAGCAAAGTCGTCGCTCTGAGATGGAGGGAATGAAGGCGGAGGTGTCTCAGTTGACGACAGAATTGCACCAGCGTGACATTACGATAGCGACTATAAGCACAACCACCTCCAACATGGAAAGGCAGCTTCGAAGTGAAATGGAGAAAGCCGAGAGGAGTGCAACAGGATATAACGTGGTAATTTACTTTGCTCCTTAGCTTATGTGTTCCAATCAATGCCTTTTAACTATTTTTGGTGAATTGTTACGCTCCTTAGAATCTCAAAGTGAGGGATAGCAATACTAGATAACTGAACTTCACTACTTTATTTTTATCAAGTGTTTGCATAGAGAGTTTCCTGGTGAACAGAACAAAGTTCCCTCTATTCTGCAAATGACGTATCTCCTTGCTGCACTTCTGTCATGTTTTTTTTCCTTCAATGAGAATAGTTACAATTTGTTCCAGTAATAGACACCAGCTCTGTGGCCTACGCCTTCCAAGACTTGATTTGAGATTCAGTGAGCTAATTTGACTTTCAGACAGCAGATATCGGGTATACTCATTGGAACAGTGCAAGTTCAGTTCAAGTCATAAAAGTGACAGGAAGCTCAATGCATCTATTGTTCCATCTATAATCTTATTTTGTTCCTCTGAATTATTCTTTTTGTTAGCACAGCACAATACACAAAAGGCTGACTACCAATAGTTCAGAGTTGTGTGAATCAAATTTGCACTGGCATTACCCTTCAAGTTTATAATTTGATTACAGCATTTTTCTTAAAAACTGTACTTTCTGAGGGTGCAGTTAAAAATTTACACCACTATATTGGAAGGATTGAATTGAAAATAAGGTGAACCCAATTGGATTATTTTATGATTTCATCAAAGTTCATGAGTAGGATTTAATTCATGTGATTGCTTATGAATCAATATGGTGTTGAGCTTCAGTATTCCAATGCTCAGCATTAGAAAAGTTTTCTCTCTCGTATGTGTTGTGAAAAGGAATAAGGCCGTGAGTTTTCAACCAATTCATGGTGTTCACATGTGGAGGGTGTGGATTCAATAATGTTATAGGTTTGCTGGGAGCTCCTAATGGTTGGGTTGAGAAGACATTTATGCGTGACATTGTGTGTGCATTTAGAATAAACTATATCAATTTCCCTATAGAAATCTGATGCTTCATTCACTGATCTGCATGACAGCTATTCTGTGTCACTGAGGAGCTTGGAACAAGAGAACCAGCAACTCCAACAAGAACTGTCTGAAATGAAAACCAAACTGGAGGCTTCAGCCAAGGCGTCTCAAGACAGATATGAGATGGTTCTGCAACAAATACAGAACAAGTTGACAGATATCAGACAGACAGAGGACAGGTATGTAGGCTTCTTATCAAAGATGCTGCAATAAAATCTCAGAACACCTTTAGGACATTTTATGTTAAGCAAAATATGTTTGTTCTCCGTGTTCCCTCTTTCACTATACTTATGATTGCAAAAGATCACAAAATAAGTGTCTTGCCTCATCCTGTTAATTTGAGAGGAGAACAGCATTCCTGATGTGTAACATTATGATCATTGAAATGATCTGGTGTGTGTTGAAAGAGAGTGAGGTCACTAGTTCACTTTGCGCATCAACCATCTGAATATAATCCCATGTGTACGCGTTATCTGTAAAGTTTTCATTAGCCACAAATTGTTGGGGTGAATAATGCTCACAAAACTATGCAACAAATTTAGTTTTATATTTCCCAGGAGCTTTGCAGGTCAGGGACTCGGATTATCAAATTTTGCAGCTGTTTTGACGTTCTGCTTCATGCACTGCATGGAAAGCCTGAATTGTAAAAACTTTGCTTCATCTTTTCTTGCAGACGGATGCAAGATCTGCAGCACAAGCATGAGGAGCAGCTCCAGAAGCTTCAGACCAGGCTCGAGGAGACGATCAAGCACTATGAAACATGCAAACACAACTCCAAGCAGCAACACGCATTGCCTAAGCCTGGCTCCCCTTCTTACTTACCAGATGGACCGATTCAAAGCAACTCTTATGATTGTTCTCCTCATGGATCTCCACACAGGGCTATCTCGCCCTCCTCACGTATCAGTCTGACTGCTGATGGGAATGAAGCTGACTTTTCCGATGATACTTCAGTAAAATCTGCCCATTCAGTACATCGTGAACTATTTGCACCTTTGGTAAGTGAAGTTTTGTTTTTAAAATGTGAAGCACCTCCTGCTGAATTAGTAGGCAAGGAACTTTTGCCCTTAAACTTTTCCCTTAAACTGAATTATTTTGTATTTTTAAAATCCACTGTTGTCCCCATAAAATGATGCAAGTTTTGCTTATCTAAGAAACACTAGCGTCTTATGAAGAAACTATGTATACCTGATTGAAATTTTTCTCCCCACACTTTGCTTAAAGTGCTTGTGGGCATCAATGAAAACTGAATAGAGCTTTATGTTTTTTTCCCTGAACCCATAATACAGAGGCCAATTGTATCACCCCAAGTCGTCCACTGGCTGAGATCAGTCAATTTAGCACAAACTAGGAATTGTGTATGGCTCAGCTAGTTGATGATGATAATCCTTGCATTTGATATTGCTCTTTATCATGTCATTGAGATGTCTCGAAGTGCTTCACAGAATATATTGTAAAGTGAATTGTCTATGTATCTTGTGGGTGAAACAATTGATGAATAATAGCTTGATCTGGAAAGCCCATAAATGTATACGTGATTATTGCAAGCTTAAGAACGTGATCATCAATCTTTGTAAGCTTCATATACACATGAAGGAAATTTAGATGAAATTTTTAAGAGACGCTGCAAAGTGGTTAGATCTGAGAACTGAACCATCCATTCTTTTGCTTCCTCCTCCAGCTTGACTGTTTTTCCGTTGATTTTATTTCAGAGTCCATCTGTTATGTCTCCAACAACATCAGTTGCTGCACAGTTTCTTCAAGAGGAGGAGAAGCGGTCACAAAAGCTCTTAAAACGTTTAGACAGACATATTGAGGATCTCAAAAATGAAAGTGAAAGTACAGTGATTAGATACTTACAATCCTCTGCATCCACACAGCAGTTCTCAGCTTCCAATTAGTTGAAGCTGCTACTGAACACAATGGGATTGTTGTGTCTGGTTGTTGGGCTTTATTGCTACCATTTCGGTTGCTATCAAACTGAAACTGTACATAAAGTAGGGACTCTTTTTAAAAAAAATCAATGTCATCCTTGCTTGTCTCAGTTTCTTTCTCATCCCCATCTCACTTAGTTCTTTGCAACCATGTTTTACATCAGCGGGATGGAACTTACAGCTCTAAAGGACATTGTTGACCCTGACTCCTTGGAGGCACTTTGGTGCCCTCCTTCAAAATGAATTTTCTCCTCAGAGCCAGATTTTCAGTTCGCAAAATGTGACCAAGGCACAGTTCAGCCCCCTGGAGAAGCTGAAGCACAAAATGTAGTTCAGGCCAAGTTTTGAACTCCAGTAGTCCATTGTCTGACCTGCAGCATGTTATATTAAGCACACTGTGCTTCGAGACACAAATGTTAGCATTTGAGGCCTGGCTGCAAATAGTGGAACAATTTGGTGCAAATGGAACAATGCGAATGAGATCAAGTATTGCTTTTGATGTTTCATCCAATGATGGCACACACTTTCTGATGTTTGGACATTGTCTTGTTGAAAACTAAACTGCTTTATCAAGTTTTTCTCCCCCGCACACACCCATCTCTTGAAGATACTGTCTCTTGGGGCACTTGTCTATGGATGTTGGCAGCTCCCTGATGTCTTGCCCAAGTTTCCCATGCAACCAATATTGGCCATCGATGCCACTGCAGTCAAGCTGATTGTGTTTTTACCTGAGATTTTTTAATATATAATACAAATAAATATATACACAATATATTACATATATTATATACTGTATATTTATATACTGTCTATAATGTATGTATTCAGGAATCACTGGATAGAAATTTGAGAGTTTATTTTGGGGGGTGCTTGAGATCAATTTCAGTTTTCCACAAGCTGCTGAGATTTAATTAAATCAGAAAAGATGAGAATCAAACCTTAGACCTTGGCACTGTGTGACTTGGTGCTGACCCTCAAAGCCATTGGGACAACCTGAACACATTTGTTAAGGATCTTCCTCAAAAGAGTCAGTATTTTTAGAAATATTCTAAGCTATTTTTATGTACATAAGATTTATAAATAAACTTTTTTAAATTCGATTACAGACGAGTGTAGCTTCAAATATCATTGAAGCATTTCTTTCTGCATGTGTGGATATTGGACTTGTATGCAGCTGCTAAAAGTACCCAATTACTTTGATCTTTAAGACTTGAAACTTTTACTCTTAATACCCAGTGAGATGCTCCAAGCTGTCTGCTGACCACAAACACACAACTTTCCATGGACAGATGTGTTAAGTCGGGTATGCTGATGTGGAAATAAAGATAAGGATAAGCTCATGTCTGCAAACTATACAGAGTGTGTATTGTGAGAAACTAATTTGAGGGAAGTTATCTAGTTTAGTAAAGGCTTCCGAGAGGTGTGAAATAATAATAATAATAATCACTGAGGCTGTCATTCAGTTTCCATACCCCAGTTAACGTTTGGTGTGATTTGTGTTTTGCGATTTCTATTTTTCCTGAATCTGATTTTGAACGTTACTCTCTTAATGTTATCTTAAGATATTAATGGATGGCAGCTGCGTGGTGCTGGGTCGGTGCGGAAAGCCTTGCATTTTGTCAAAATAATTCTATGAGAAAGTAATTTTGTACTGGTATTCATGGATGGGCTACTCAGCATCACACAAATTATACATAAAACCCATTCAGTAATTTGTGACAGACTTGCGAGAGAATGGTGCACGCTTTCTTGCAGTTTTGAAAGCACTTTTATTCCTGGCAGTTTCCTTTTGGCAAATATTGAATGACAATCAGTATTGATCGTGTTGATCACTTTGAGGCTACATCATATTGCAAAGCAAACGTGTACTTCGTATCAGAAATTTTTTCTGAAACACCAATATTGAGGTTTTTGGCATCTAATGTATTACATGTTCCCTCCCAGTATCCGTCACTTGAGAGTGTAAGTGGACAGCCTTCTTTGCCATACACTTGTACCTTTTTCACATGAGGAATTTTAAACTTAAATGCCACTACAGTGTTTGGTGGCAGAATACCGGAAAGGGGTTCGAATAATTCACATTCTTCAGTCCAGGAAGTATACACTTTAGGGAAAGTAGCCAGGTGCACGTCCTCATTTGTACATGAGATTAAATATTCGCACAGGTGAGAAAATGTTGAACTGCGGGACGACTTTTCTTTTGAGAATATAGTAAAAACGTATAACCCTGAGCTGGGGAGCTGGATTTTGAATTCCACCGAATTGTCCTTTTGAGTTTTAAACACATGATTTCTCATGACATCATCTGGAATATCCAGTTCATCACACGTTAACTTGCTAGTGAAACTGAGCTCTTTGTCCAAGAAGAACTTAATGGAACATTGACCATCTGAGCAGTAGATGAGAGGCTCTGGATGCGAGGGCTCAATAATTCCCTTTATCTCTGTATACCAACTGGGACCCAGAGGATTGTGTACTGCTTTTGGCATTTTGAAGCTGTCGTCGACTTCATTACATTTAATCATATATGCGCATATAAATGAATACATCTTTTCATCAGTATTCAGTAATTTAGCGTAGATCTTCAACTTGTATTCCCCGACCTTTGGGGGAAGGACTTCCAGCTTCATACCGTAAGTTGTCAAATTGATAAGAGCGCAATCTTTTCTGCCGTCCAGGTTATACATGAATAATGTTGGTGAATTGCCTCCCATGTTGATGATAGCTCTTCCGTTCACTGTTTTCAGATATGGAGACGATTAAAATTCAGTTAACCATATAAAATAGCGTAATATTAATTAACTTAATAGCACATTAAGGCTGAATTTTAGTACATCTCCAAACAAACTTCACCAAGCAAAGGTGAACCTGCTACCCAGGTCTACATCCCATTTGCCTTTCTAGACATTGGTGGTGGCATTTATTTTGCATTGGGCCACTTGGATCAAGGAATTTCAATAAAGAAAAAGTCCTTTTGACCTATCTTATTTATGCCATTCCAACTCTTCCACTTAAACTCTCCAATCCGATACACTTACTCTTACCCAATTCTCCTTTGTTTTTTTTATCTAATTTCCCTCTAAATGCCATAATTTACTCTTCAGTAGCTATGATTGGTCACTCAATCCACAACTATTTATGGGACACTTGTGCACAATTGGCTGCTGTTTCACCCACAACTTTTACAGTCAATTCACTTTGTAGCATATTCTGTGAAGCGCTTTGAGACATCTCAAAGACGTGATAAGGTGCTATTATTAATGCTTTCATTACAACGAGGCTTGACAGCAAACTCATTGCTTGCCAGCCCAACTCCTCCCTCCACAGGCATCCAGAACTCTGCAGCCCGTGTCTTCTCCCGCATTAGGCTCCGCGACCCTATCACCCCCATCCTTGCCCAACTCCACTGGCTTTCCATCACACAGAGGATACAGTTCAAGATCCTGGTCCTCACCTTCAAACCCTCCAGGCTCCCTCTGTGACCTCCTAACCCCCTACCATCCTGTTCGCTCCCTCCACTCAGCAGGCTCTGGGCTGCTTCATGTCCCCCGCCTCGCTCACACCATCATTGGCGGGCCTTCCGCCACTCTGCCCCCATCCTCTGGAACTCCATCCCACAGTCCCTCCGCCTCGCCCCCTCCCTCGCCACTTTCAAGACCCTCCTCTTCGACCGTGCTTTCGATCTTCTTGTTTCTCCCCCCTGCCCTCCAGCCTCCCCCACCATGATCCCCAGCTCGGATCCGTAACTGTCCAGCACCTTGGGACGTCCTCCTGACGTGAAAGGCACTATACAAATGTAATTTTGTTGTTGTATATCAAATGCAAGTATTATTATGATGATTAGTTCCACACCCTAATAATTGCTTTCATGTAAAAGTTTTTTTTTAATCTCCTGCTTTTCCCCTTTTATACTTCTGGTAGTTATTATAAATTCATGTCACTTAGGCTATTTCATTAACCATTGGAAAAAAAATCTCACTTTTATTTGCTTAAACTTAATGCATGAACCAGTCTCACACTACTATTTGAAAAAGTGATACAAAGACCAGCCTCTAAATGAATCAAAAGCATCTGCCATTATTAATATTTACGACCACTAACGTGGAATTTCAGTTTATGTCCATGAGTGCTGTTAACTTGCCTGCTTCTCACAGTGGTAGAAAGGAATCTAAAACCCGATTGTAACACTTATCATTGCTATCAGCAGAGAATGATGAACATGCATGTGACTTCTCCACAGATTGTTTGCTCAGCCACAGAATGGTGATACGATCATTTACCCATAATACAAGTTTTCAAGATACATTTACCTGTATTCACCACTTGTACATCAGGATGAATGTATGTCAACCCAATGTTAAAAAATTCTCCGGTCCTGAAAACCATATTTTCAAATGCCTTAATAGAAATCCTTGGAGAAATCAGCTGCCAGTTTTCATCCATTGGAAAATGGTTATTGATAAAGAGAGTAGGATGTGTGAAGAAATAAAATTCAACATACCTGCAATACAAAGATGGAATATTTTAGGATGTGGTTTATGAAATTAAATCCCTATGGGCTAGCTTTGCAGACTTTAAAAATGATACAAAACTACAAGAATTGCACTTATTCTATAGATGGTTATATTATTCTATATAATGTTTTCTTTGCTTTATAGTATTATTCTGTGAAGCGCTTTGAGACGTCTCGACGATGTGATAAGGCGCTACATAAAATGCAAGAATTATTATTATTATGGCTGGTAATGTTCTGTTGGACATTGCTGTTGGACTATTTCAATTATTTTGACTAATTCACGTAAAGAAATCTTGATTCCATACTCTTCAGTTCGCACTTAATTATTAGGAGTATATAAGGTAATTGCATAATAGTAAAAACAGTTATCTGGTGTTTTTGTGACTATGGCACATTTTGCATTGTGCTGGCACAGCTGTAGAAGTGTATTTTAAGGAATGTAATATTTGTCTTAAGTTTTGGAAGAAATTATTGGAGTAGCTCTACATTGCTTGAACATTACTCTAGCTGGAGTATTAATGATGGGTTGTCCCACAGTATACAGAGGTGAGATATGGGAAAGACTTCTATTAGAAATGAAACATACAGTGCTACAAACTATAAACATACCTAGAGTAAGTGGCCTGGTATAAAGTTGGACATTGAGGTGAAGAAACAGTGTGCTCTTGACTCTGGTTCTCTGCATTCCATCTACTCTCCCTCACTTTGTCCAACCGTCAATTAGTTCAGGAAAACTTTTGCCTACCTTGATATCAACATGATCTCTGAATCTATTTTTAGCTTTCACTTACCAGTCTAAATGTAAATTAAATCGCTCTTTAATAAGTATAGTTAGAACTGCAGCTGTTAACATCTGGGAACTGTGAGAACTGAGTTACAATGAAAAGGATGATCACAAACACTTAAGATTGAGTTGCATTAAAATGAACGTAATTTTTACTTTGAAATTGGGAAGTCTTACTCTGAATGACCTCTTGTTAGAAAAGGATAAATGTATCGACATGATCGAGGTCTGAATAAATGGATAAGTGAAAAATTATATTAAAAATATAACTTTTCTCCTGTATCCTTCAGAACCAACAAGTATAGGTGCAAGAAGTAAATGATGCACAGCACTGCAAAATAAGTGAACACTTACTTGAAAGTAAATTTTGAACAGTTCTCGTTCACGTGGCCTGCTCCCCAAGTGGTATCCAGGAGATGCCATTTCCCTTCTAAATACACTGCATTCCAGTCATGATCAGGGTCTCCTTTGAATGTCTTTCCAATTTCATAATTGTAGCCTTTGGAATAACCTCCTATTGCAGTGCACTTTATACCTGCAATGCTGAAAATTAGTTGGTATTTAACAGTCATCAGCTTCACAGTTAAACATTGTTAAAGGGCAGGACACTAAATACTTGATTGTCCTTGGTCCCCTTCCTTTCCTTATTTACCTGCTCCCTCTTGGTAATGTCATTCGCAGACATGGAGTAAAGTTCCAAATCTACTTCTCCTGCAGCTGTGACTCCAGATTTGCTAATATTATGTCAGTCATTGAGACATTCTCACTGCTCTAGGCACAATACCATATGCCAGGATAATTATTAATTAGAAATGTTTTTGTTTAAAGAAAAAATGAATGCTGAAATTCTGAAATGGAAATATCAAAAGCTGCAAACTGGCATCAGAAAGAGAGATGACCATTTTTTGCAGAACCCTAATTTCTCTTGAAATTTCCATTATTGCTCTCCAGGCTTCAAATGTAGTACCATACAGTACTCTGAAAAAACTCACTGCACTGATTCATGGTCTAACTCTCTGAAACCTCTGACTATTTTTACTCTCTCTATCATGCAATCTATAGGCTTTCAAAACTCAATCTTTATATTCTCTTAAGTATTTCTCGTATTTCACTTCAGCTAAGTTTTGCATTTTAAACAAAATCAGAACTATTGTCTGAGGAAGGTCTGACTCGGATTATTAATCTGTCTTTCTCTTTCGGGTGCTGATTGACTGCTGTGCATTTTCAGTTTTGGTTTCTTAATCGGACACTTATTTTTGACTTTAGGGATTGCAAAGTGAAACCCAAGTGTTCGTTGTGCTGTAAGTGGTATAATTTAAGGCAGAGACAGAAAGACTGCCTTTAAAACTTAATTGGTAATTGGATCAAGTGCTTGAAGTGTTTGTGAAGGATTGATATAAAATAAGGTGGATGTGCTGGAGAGACTCGCTTGGGAAAAACAATTGGAGGGGAATATTGAATTCAATAAGAGCTGTATGAGAGAGTAACTAGGAAATGAATGAAATGTTACCTGCACATTTCACAAAAGAGGCCTGAATATCCAGAACATACTGCTTTTCCAGTCATCAGTGCTTCTTCTGGTGTCTTGCCCTTTAGGTCCTTGCTATGATACCCCTTCACATCATATTCTGCAAATGTGTCAAAGTTGCTCAGCATAAACAATTGGCTAATATAGTGGAATTATCTGTCTGTACATTCAGCTTGCTCTAGATTAAATAAAACATGAACAAGAGAACTAAAAGCTAGAATTGGCAGACAGTCTCTTCCATTGTTTGTGTGAAGAAAAAGACAGAGGTGCCACATTTGGATCCTTTACCTATGTGGTGACAGATCCAAATCCAGATGGCTCTAATTTTTTCCAGATCAGTTTGGGAATATAGCAGTACCTCTTTCACCAAGGCAGGGATGCTAGCCTTCGGAAGAACCTGTTGAGGGTAAAACATGTCAGCGATTTTTCTTGCTGTAAACGGCATAAAGATTGTCTTAAAGTCGCATTGAATAAACCATGTGAAACTGCTTGTTGTTTCAAAGATATTAAAGTGTGCTTAAAGAGGGGAAAGCTGAACTGTCTCCCTGAGAGCATAATATCTTGTGTTTTCTGGCAAATCCCTAATATTCTGAGATTGTCTCACTCAGCAGTTGGGGTTTTACTCGAATGTACCAATGTATGGGCTCCACCAAGATCCTTCTGTAATTTCAGGTCATTTGACAGGCCAGTGAAAAGAGTGAACTGTCTTTGGTGTACTCCCACCCACTTGCCGTTCCAAGTAATATTGTTATTTCAAGTACTATTTTAGGCCTCAGTAAGAAAAATCCTCACGCCCATATACAACTTCTGTTCCAGGTTTCAATTTATTTATGTTAAAAAAAAGCAATATCCTGTGTATGTTGCTATGCACAATAGATATATGTACCAGTTCTTTTTTGCAGCTGCGCTGTACAATACTGCACAGTGTACATTGTAATAATAAATTTGGTGCATTCTAAATTTCAATTACTCATTCACACGTATAGATTTAGCATGATGTAACTTTCTGAAAATACACAAAGCCACTATTTTCAGCAGTTCCACTTGTTTGTGCAATCCACATCCTGTTACTGAACCACTCAGGCATGCTGTGAAAATAACATTTCTATACTGCATTCACTGCAGTGAGAGGCCAAATGTATCATTACCATTTTTAAATTGGAAACGTCTGCTTAGACCAGGGCAATCTGGTGTTCCCTTTCCCCCAAATAAATAATCAAAATGTAAAATCACCCTTCAGGAATATAATGTGAGAACACTGCAAGCATCAAATTTCTAAAACTGATTTTCTTTTGCACGTGTTTTCTTCTAACCCTTTTGAGGTAAATGTTGGAATTGTGGCAGACCCATAACAAGCAGTGAACAAGAAAAAGCTTAGTTGCTATATTGAGCCCCAATCTTCCACAGATCATGCCAAAAACTACCCTTATGTGTGCTCCACCCCACCCGATCTACCTCCTGGGGGAATGGTTCTTCATAGTTGCTCCCTGATCTTGAAAGTTAATAGTCAAAATTCAAAAAAGAAATCACTCACACCTCAAGATTCAATCCTGACTCTCTCAAGACTTTGTTCCTGCGACAAAAACTTTCTGGAATTACTTAAGCAGGGTGTGGCCCTCTGGGAAGAGAGTGCACACTTTATTTCAGAGAAAAAGAAATTTCCATGCTTTAATGGAACTCTGTCTGGTATGGATTCTCTTAGACAAGTTTCCTTACTCCACACAGAGCCTAATAATAATCTCTCCATCAACCAAAAACAATAATAAATTGGTCATTTTCAATCTACGACTGTTTGTGGGACATTGCTGTGCGCAATTGGCTGCCGTGTTCGCCCACAAATATACAGTCAATTCACTTTACAGTGTATTCTGTTAAGCGCTTTGGGACGTCCTCCCAATGTGAAAAGCGCTATATCAAATGCAAGGATTATTATTATTATTATGCGCGGTGATGGTGTTCGTGTGTATGAATTACCCAGCTGAATAAAACCAAAGCACACTGTGTTTAGCAAATAAGTACACTTAGATTATGGAATGAGAAAACCTAGTTGAGCCACACAAGCACATTATTTCTAATAGATCGAATGCAATTTTCCTCATCACGGACCCAATTTATTTAATTTTATGACGAAACCTCCATGACATTTCTTCACTGGAAGTTTAATCCAGTCCAGGGTCCGAGGTATCAATGAAAGTTATTATAAACTTTGCCGTTCAATCCTGACCCTAACCCTGTTTGAATTAATAATTCAGTGGCTTATTGATCAGGTATATAAATATATATATGTAGGTGGTAACTGCCCACAAATGTTACAATCCTTCAATCCTGTTTCCAAACCAAAATTGGGGACCAAGAGATTGAATGCATTTATTTCCCCTGTGCCCTGTGTGTGCTCTCTTTAGGGCATCTTGTTGGCCAACTTTCGGCAAAATAAACGACACAACTTTCCGCCACAAAAAAAATGCTCAATCACATTGTGAGCCCATAGCCTATAGTCAAGAGCTCTTGTCAATAGAAGATTGTAATCAGTTAATCAGAAACCTGAACAAACTTGTGTTTTGTTGTTAAATTGATGCTAAATTGAAAATCTAATTTAGAAACGTGCCTGTTCCATATGCTACAGATTCTACACAATCGTGGTCTAATCACAGAAAGTAAAATGGCCTTCTGTAGGTAGTAATAAATTAGGTTTTAAAAATCTGAATTATGTTTTCTTTTTCCAAACTCATCACAACCTTTTCAATGGTTGCTAATAAAATTATCCAAAACAGATCAGAGTTAGTCCGTGCTGATCAATCTCAGATTACTGAGCAGCAATCAAACCTTTGGATANTTTTTGAATAGATTTAATTTAGGTTCGTTTTAAATTACCACCCAGATAACCTATCTAAATGAACTGTTTCTTCTACATTACAGGAGTAAAATAACTAGAAGTATTTACAAAAAGGGCTCTTGTAAAGGTGTCTTTCAAGGTAATGACCTCTGTATTGCAGATGTTTATTGCCTGCTTTTGATTCATTTTTCCTTCATATCATGTTTATTTGAATAGAATCACAGAATCATAGAATCGTACAGCACACAAAGAGGCCATTCGGCCCATCAAGTTTGTGCGGCTCTTTGAATAGAGCAATGTAATGTCAATCCCACTCCCTAGCCCTTTCCCCATAACCCTGCAAACCTGTCGTCCTCAAATACCCGTCACCCGCTTTTAAAAGTCGTTATCGAATCAGCCTTGACCACCCTTTCGGCCAATGCGTCCCAGATTCGAACAACTCGTTGCGTGAAAAAAATGTCTCCTCACCTCCCCTCTGCTTCTTTTAGATACTATTTTGAATCTGTGACCTTGAGTCGCCGACACAACCACCAGTGGAAACAGTTTTTCCCCTTCTAACCTATCAAATCCCCTCATGATTTTAAAGACCTCTATTGGGTCTCCTCGTAACCTTCTCTACTCCAATGAGGATAATCCCAGCCTCTCTAGCCTTTCCTCATAATCAAGGTCCCTCATTCCTGGTACCAGGTCCCTCATTCCTCATAGATTTGAGGACATGAGCTCTATAGTATCTTTGCCAAATTGTGAAGTAATGCAGCAACACAACTAAATGTTCTATCATTTTTTTAAAGGGTGACAAGTTTGGAGTGGAAAAAAAACTATTTCCTTTAGTTGGAGAATTGGTGACAAGGGGATATTATCTCAGAATTGTTTGCAGAAAAATTGGAGTTGAGGTTTAGAAGAATGCCTTCATTCAGATGGTTATCTGATAGCCAAAGTTATCCCATGCGCCGGCTGACAATAATGATTCAGACAACTGAATGTAGGTTGGGAAGGATGTCTGCAGAAAATGTCTGCATGGACATTGGATAGTACAGCAATTGGAAAGTCAAGCCCAATGCTATTTTGCCTTTGTCTTTATGTACAGGATATTGCGAGGAGGGGAGCTCTGGCCATGAATTTGTCCCTGTTACTAATCTAAACCTGAAGTTGTATCACACTGCTTTACAGCTGGTATAACTTAATACCACACTGAACGCTTTGCAGGGGATGCAGTTTCTCCACAGTACTATGCAGTGTTACAGCACCATTGACCAAAAACACATTTGGAGGATGTAGACATTTTTGGAATGGTTGAAAGAAATGGTTTATGGTTGGCCTTATTTCAGAATGCTGATGAAGTTCAGGACCAGATGGAATGCTTTTCTGAGCCTGGTTATTGCAACATTTTAATGGTCACTTGGTACTATGGCAGGGAATGATGATCTTTCCACTGGAATTGTTCGTCTTCCAGCCACGTTGGTGAAAGTCTAATTTTGCATGTGTGACTGCATTGTAACAGTGTTGAAGTTGGACACCTGGAACTGTTCAGCATAGAGATTTGCCTAAATTTTTCCAAGTTTATTTTATTTTCAACACTTACTTTTGTTAAACCCAGCAGACTTTCAACCCAGCAATCTATAGTAGCACGGCAAACTCTAGATATGGTAGCGGAATGTTCTCACCCTCAGTAGTACCCTATCAGTACATTTGATTAATTTTTAGTAATTTTTAGTACTCAGAGATGTGTCATTGAGAAATAAACCACTCATTGAATAGAAATAATAGAGTGTTTCCCAGTACTGGAAAGTTATGTGCCTTCTCCACTCTGTAGGTTAGCAATTGGTTCTTTTTCTGCCAAAATAATAACTCGTTTTTCTTTAAACAATACATGGTTGGAAGTGAATTTATTAATTTGTTGGTTTGTTTGGTTTCTAGTTCAGAAAAGCTTATCAAGAAAATCCAGATTTTGGCCACAAAATACTCAGTCAATCCACTTCAGTATGTCCTGTGAAGCGCTTTGAGATGTCTCGACGACATGATTAGGCGTGGATTATTATTTCTGTACTGCACAAGCCACACTAATTTAGGATAGGTACGTTTTACTATCACAAATGATCCCAAAGAGTGGGATGCACGCTTCTTCTGTAAACTGTTTGATTTCTAGTTCAGAAACTATCTTATGAAGAAAATCCAGATTTTTGCATGTTACCTGAGCAGCGTATTCATCAATCTGCTGAAACGCTCTCAAATCCATCTTCATGGATTTTAGGTTGAAAATATCATCTGGAGAATAAAATTATAGGTGAGAAATTCATTGTCCTTAAAAATCTTAAAGGAGCATTGTATCCTGAGAAACAACTACCCCTCCAATTTTTCTCTCCATTGGTGCTTGTTGAGATAGAAATCAGTGGGCACAAATCCCCCTCTGGTAATTGCCCTAGTGACCATTCACCAAATATGAACTCAGAAAATGAGTGTTGGTAGGCTATCCATGTGGGTGGGGAGCCTAACCTGATCTTATCCTCACCAGATATCTGCATGTGTGCACTTTCAAGCAGCAATAACTGGGCCACAGTGTGGAGTGAGTCTTGTTTCACATTCCCTCTCCTAATCCAGAGGATTAATCCAGTTTTAAAGGGCCATCACAAGAGCAGAATAGTTATTAAGCACTGTTGAGAACTGCAAGCAGGAAAACAAAAAACAATGTATACCAAGCATAACAAATGGATTAAGGAAATTTCACAAGTCCATGAATACTTGAATAAATTACTTTTGTGACAAACTGGTCTTTGTTTGTGTCTCAAAATAGATTAAAATAACTAAGTTACTGTTCTTGTTGGAAGTTTCATTTGGATTTGTGAAAATCCAAAGCAGAAAATACTTTTTCTTGAAAGCCTACCTTCAATTTCTTTAAGCTTGAATTTTTGACTAGTGGTAGTCTCTGTAACAAGAAAATGTATTTCAGATATTTGTGTCTAGGATTGTTGACAGATTTCTTAAAGCTCCTCATTACATTTTCCAGAAAGTATAAATATTTTTCACTGCCATATAATAAAACTGATGTTACTGAACATGAAACCTCTGATGTTTGCTGGAAGAGCAGTCTACAAGGATGAATCAATGGAGCGCAACGTCAAATTGGAAATCAAACCGGATCTCCAGGGAAACCTTTTAAAATTAAAACGCCTGCAGTGGGCGAGAGGCTAGAAGACTCACCTCGCTTTCTGTCACAGTTTGGCAGACCCTGTAACAGCTGGGATGGTTTAATAAAGTATGCCGTTTCTTATAATAGTTCATCATAATCTTATTTATTTGAGACAGTACATAAAATAAAATACAGCAAACCTAAATCTCTGTAGTCTAAGGAAGCATCCTGATCTAATGGTTGTTTTCCTGTAAAGATTTAATCATCAATTCAGATTAAGAATTCCTTTGAAATAACACTAATAATGCTGTGGAAGGGCAGGAGATACCACATATGATACAATAATTGACATCATATTTTCATCTGGAAGTCCATAAGGTAATACCCAAACCAGCAATAGTTAGGCATGGTTTTGATTTTTTTTTAAAAACACAAGAAAACATTTCCTTGCTATTTGCTCCCCCTAATGCAGAGTGGGATTGTCTCCACCCTATTCTTTGAGGTGGGTGTTCTTCATGTGTGAGACGAAATGTGGACAGTGGGGTGTCACAGTTGAGCCTGATTGTCGACACAAGTGCATTTTTTCAGGGGGCTCCAATTGGTCGCTGGAGAGCAATTGAGAGTTGGCCTCTTGCTAATTTTGTTCCCTCCTTCCTTAACCCACTGACGCTGAAGCCAATTAGAGTGGCTCATTATTGCCCAAGTGAATATCCAGCTCAGCTCAGCCTGGGAACTTCCTGGGCAGTGGCTGTACCCAACTTGCTTGAGATTTTAATTTATAGTCAAAAGGCCACAACTTGAAAAAGTTTGACAGTTGAAAATAGGGAATCTCGATTACCTTTTTTTCCAGGCAATCTATCATTAGTCAAGTCTTTTTTTATTGTTGGACTACAACAATCTTCTAACAATCACCATTTTTCTTGGTGCTTTGATTTGAACAAGGTTTGAACTTCTCATGTGACTATATTGGGATATTTTGTGTAAGACAATTTGTGTAACAGGTCTTTCAGGATTAGTGGTGTCTGTTATTGTATAATGTAGTTGACTTCAAACATTTTATGTTAAGAAAATTCAGCAAACCTCTTTTTACCTGGAATGGAAGGTTCACGTTCTCTCTGCTGTTTTTCTGCGAAGAGTTTTAAATGTTACTTCCAGCTCGGAAGCTCTGCAAAATACTCAATACTTAATAGAAACATTTTATGCAACAAAACTTCAGCAAACCTCTTTACCTGGAATAGAAAGTACACGGTCTCGTTGCTGTGTTGGTTGTTCTGTGATTTTTTTTAATGTCGCCTCCAGCTTTGAAACTCTACAAAGTTTCAACAAACTCTGCAAAGTTACCATGCCTCTCCTCCCTCATCCACCTCAGTGGGACCGCACTTGCATGGTTCGAGTCCAGGGCTTAAAAGGTTATAGTATGAGAGGTTGCATAAACTTTGCCTTGTATTCCCTTGATTTAAGAAGGTTGAGGGGTGATCTAATTAAAATGATAAATTAATTTAATAGCATAAATACAGAGAAACTATTTCCTCTGGTGGGGGAATCCAGAACAAGGGGCATAATCTTAAAATCAAAGCTAAACCAGTTAGGAGTGAAATTAGAAAGTACTTTTTTACACAAAGGAGAGTGTAATCTGGAACTCTGTCCCCCAAAAAGGCTGTGGATGCTGGATCACTTGAAATGTTCAAGATTGAGTTTGAAAGAATTTTGTTGAGGTAAGAGTCTCAAGGGATATAGAGCAATGACGGGTAAATGGAGCTGAAGTACAGATCAGCCATGATCTAATAAAAGGACGAAACAGGCTTTAGGGATTGAATGGCCTGCTTCCTGTTCCTATGTTCCTAAACTTCTTTTTATCTGGAATGTAAGGTTTAACTTCTCTTTGCTGTGGTTGTTTGTCTGTGAAGTGAAGAGTTTTATATGTTACTTCCAGCCCTGAAACTGCAAAATGCTCAATACAATCGATATAATGAAAACCTCTTTTTACCTGGAATAGAAGGTTCACGTTCTCGTTGCTGTTGTTTTTCTGTGAAAAGTTTTAAATGTTATTTCCAACTCTGAAACTGCAAAATACTCATTAAAATACGTTGCAGATATAACCCCTTTCCCATCGAGACACCTGATCTTGGGTGGCAACTGTTTTGAAACTGTCTTGTTTGTCAGTCCAAAATATTGAGGTACGTTTCATAGGAAGGCTTCGTTGCTTGGCTTGTAGGGCTGAGGTCATCAATTGCATTGATCAGCTGCATAAGATGATCAAGAAAGGTTTAGACTATTGTGGACCAGCCCAGATTGAGACAGAGAAATATTTATTTACCCAGAGAGTAATTAACAACTGAAATGGGTTGCTAGGACTGGTGGTTGAAGCCACAATGCTGGGCTTGCTTTGAAAGCAGCTTGATACTGTCCTGGGAAGATGATGGGGTGATATTTTGGAATGCTAAGATCCAATGTCCCAAAGGGCCATCCAAACCGATCTCGTGCGAATGCCCTTGGAGACAATTCAACTCTAGAAAGACCTGACCTTCATGCTCTCTCCCCTCTGTAAGAGGATAATTGGAGATGGGACACTTTATCAACCTCAAAAGACTGCATGGTCTCTGTAATACCATTATGGTTCTAAGTGTGTGATCACATGATGGTGTCATAAATTATGTTTTCTATATTCCTACTGTTGCAACTGGACAAATGAATTATCTAGCGAGTAGTTTTATTATTAGGGATTCGATATTAATGAAATTTAAGCTCCTGAAATGACAACTGTTTAATGGAGCTTCAGTCAGGGAAATTATATTTTTTATATTGGACATTGAACATTTGTTATATTTGTTATGTTTTTTGTATCGAGTGTTCCAGGATTCAGTGTTTTTCTTTTTGTCTACGGTTTTGTAATGAGAGATGGTTGTATAGTCAAACCACATTATTCAAAAAGTTTCTATCGAAAGTCAATGCAGCAAGTTTCTGTTTCTCTTAATGCCGATTGAGCCTTTGTGTTCTCTCTGCTTTGATTGTTTTCCTGAAAAAAAATGTTATCAGGTCTAGTTATGAAATAGTTGCTGTCTCCTATAATCCTACAATTTGTGATGCAAGAACTACATCAGTGATTCTGCAATTCAGTAATCCAGCGATATACTGTAATGGAAGCTGACTGTTTGCTCAAACTACATGGTTGGAAAATTCAGTTGAAAGGGAATGCAGCAAAACTCTCTTACCTATACTCTCAATGGAGCTTTCACTTTCCCTTTGAGACGGTTGTTTTTCTGTAAAGGAATACAATGATCAGGTTTAGATATTCTTGTTTTCATCATGCTACAAAGTGTGTTGCAACAGCTGCCCCAGTGATTCCACAACCAAATAATCCAGTGTGGTATTATTATGTAATGGGACCTGACTGTTAACTCAAGCTCATTGTTGAACAAATCCATTCCATGTACGTTAATGTAATGTTTTCCATGTCGGGAGTTTGTCTTGAAGCAGTTGACACTGCTGGCTGGGCACCTGTGATGGAAGGGAGAGTCGAAGATGGTGAGGAGGTGGAAGATGATCGAAAGAGCAAGCAAACAAGTCAGTGGTAATTTGAGATGGAATTCCAGAGACTGAGGGCAGAGCAGCTGAAAGCCCACCTGCCAATGATGGGGCAGATAGGGTGGCAGACATGAAGCAGAACAGTATCACTGAGCACCAGGGAGGGATAGGGTTGAAGGAGGTCATAGAAGTAGGGTGAAATGAGACTGTGGAGATATTGAAAGTGAATGCAGCATTCCTTTCTTACCTATACTGTCGATGGAGCTTTCACTTTCTTGTTTTGTTTGTTTTCCTTTAAAGGAATGCAATGATCTGTTGTAATTATTCCAGTCTTCTATAATCAATACAAGTATTGCAACTACTGCACCAGTGATTCTACAACGGAATAATCCAGTATCATATAGTAATCTGAGTCTAAATTAACCTAATTGTGGGAAAATTCCATCAAATGTCAACGCAACAAAACTGTAACCTTTTGGTCAAGGGAGGGTAGATGTTCTCGCTGCAGTGATAGTTTTCCTGTAAAAGATTTGATGAACTGGTTCTAGTTATAAAATTCTAGTGAATAAAACTGGGAAATAATCATAATATGATTTAATAGTTTGTTTGTTTATGTGTGTAGGTGTGTGTATGTTGGTTTGTTTTGAACCAGATATCTGTGCCCTCAGGGCAGTAAGAGAAGCACTCAATAGGAGAGGATTAGGAGAGGTTAGATAGGGGGGAACCAGTCGATGTAGTGTACTTAGATTTTAAAAAGGCATTTGACAAAGTGCCACACAAAAGGCTATTGCACAAAAGGCTCACGGGATTAATGGGAACATATTAGCATGGATTGAAGAGTGGCTAACGGGTAGAAAACAGAGAGTAGGGATAAACAGGTCATTTTCGAATTGGCAGGATGTGACTAGTGGAGTGCCACCAGGATCAGTGCTTGGGCCTCAGCTATTTACAATTTACATCAATGATCTAGACGAGGACATTGAATGTAACGTATCTAAATTCGCGGATGACACTAAATTAGGTGGAAGAGTAAGCTCTGAGGATGATGCAAAAAGATTGCAACGGGATATAGATAGGCTCGAGGAGTGGGCGAGTAGGTGGCAGATGGAATTCAATGTGGGGAAGTGTGAAGTTATTCGCCAAGGTAGAAAAAATAGAAAAACAGATTATTTTCTAGAGGGGGAGAGATTAGATAGTGTTAGTGTTCAGAGGGATTTGGGTGTCCTTGTACACCAGTCTCAAAAAGTTAGTTTGCAGGTGCAGCAAGCAACTAAGAAGGCGAACGGCAGTTAGCGTTCATTGCAAAAGGTTTAGAGTACAAGAGTAGGGAAGTCTTGCTGCAACTGTATACGGCCTTGGTGAGACCGCACCTAGAGTATTGTGTGCAGTTTTGGTCTCCTTATTTAAAAAAGGACATACTTGCCCTGGAGGGGGTGCAGCGTAGATTCACTCGGTTAGTTCCTCGGATGAGGAGACTGACTTATGAGGATAGGCTGAATAAACTAGGGCTATATTTTCTAGAGTACAGAAGAATTAGGGGAGATCTTATTGAAACATATAAGATTCTTAAAGGGCTGGATAAAGTAGACACTGAGGGACTGTTTCCCCTGGTAGGAGAATCTATAACCAGGGGTCACAGTCTTAAAATTAGGGGTCAGCCTTTTAGAACAGAGTTGAGGAAACATTTCTTCACTTAGAGGGTAGTGAATTTATGGAATTCACTACCCCAGAAGGCTGTAGATGCTCAGTCCTTGAATATCTTCAAGGCTAAGACTGATAGATTTTTTTAAAAATAGAGGAATTAGGGGATATGGGGATAGGGCAGGTAATTAGAGTTAGGTCTGAAGATCAGCCATGATTTTATCGAATGGCGGGGCAGGCTCGAGGGGCCAAATGGCCTATTCCTGCTCCTAATTCTTATGTTCTTATGTTCTTATTAAACGGTCTTCAGGAATCATGAAATTTGTATTCCGTGCTGTTTAGTTCCAGGAAGAAGGTCCAAATTTCAAAGTGTTTTTTCCTTTTAACTCCACCATACTGTAAAATTATATTCAACCTACACTGTTATAAAGTCAACACAGTAAACCTTTGGAACTTGGTTGGTCAAGGAACTTAACACGATTTAAGTTTGTGAAGTGACATTACTTGAACTTCACTTGAAATGGAATCTATATTTGGAATTTTCCCGCAATTACTGTTCGTTGTTTCTGTGAAACTATGTATATAATATAACTATATTGTTTTAAAACTTGTTAGTGAAAGTTAAAGGAGCAAATCTGTTACCTTTCGGTTCGATGGAGCTTTGACGTTCCCTCTGTGATGGTTGCTTTCCTGGAAAAAAAAGTAAACATTTGTTCAAGTCTAAAAAGCAAAACGTTGCAAGTTCTATCCTGCAATTTGGGTGGCAAAAGCTGCACCAGTGAATCCGCAACAACAACAAAATTACATTTATAGAGCGCCTTTCACATCGGGAGGATGTCCCAAGGCGCTGGACAGTCGGGTCAGGAGTGGTGAGGTAGGGGTGAGGGAAGGCAGAGAGATGGGAGTGCGACTGAAAGCACGATCGAAGCGGAGGGTCTCAACCTACGGTCTTGAGACCGGCCTTGAAGGAGGCGAAGGGACTGTGGGATGGAGTTCCAGAGTGTGGGGGCAGAGAGGCTGAAAGCCCAGCCACCGATGGTTGGGCGAGTCGGGCGGGAGTCATGGAGCAGGCCGGAGCCCGCTGAACAGAGGGAGCGGGCAGATTGGTAGGGAGACAGCAAGTCAGAAGATTAGGAGGGGCAAGGCCATGGATGGCCTTGAAAGTGAGAATGAGCATCTTGAATTCGATTCTCTAAGGTATGGGGAGTCAGTGGAGCCGGGCGAGGGTGGGAGTGATGGGGTCATGGAGCCTGGTGCGTGAGAGTACACGAGCTGCAGAGTTTTGGATGAACTGCAGCTTGTGAAGGGAAGAGTTGGAAAGGCCGATGAAGAGGGAGTTTCCAGCATCAACCTCCATGGTTGCACACTTCAACTCACCAAGCCAGTCAGGAACCTAGGTGTCTTCAACCCTCAACTGTCTTTTCTTCCCCATATTCAAGCCATGACACACTCTGCCTTCCCTCACCTCCGTAACATCGCCTGATTCCGCCACTACCTCACCCCTCAGGCCGCTGAAACTTTTCATCACCTCCAGGCTCGACTATGCAAACGACTTGCTTGTCAGCCTTTCCAACTCCTTCCTCCATTCTGGGATAATCCAGAACTCTGCAGCCCGTGTCTTCTCCCGCACCAAACTCCGTGACCCCATCTCCCTCACTCTCGCCCGACTCCATTGGCGCCCTGTCCTTCAGAGGATCCAGTTCAAGATCCTGGTACTCACATACAAAGCCCTCCATGGCCTCGCCCCACCTTACCTCTGCGACCTCCTAAGCCCCTACCAACCCGCCCGTTCCCTCTGCTCAGCTGGCTCTGGCCTGCTCCACCGACCCTCCCGCCCCACCATTGGCGGGAGAGCCTTCAGCCACTCTGCCCCCAACCTCTGGAATTCCATCCTCCAGTCACTCCGCCTCGCCCCCTCCTTAGCCTCCTTCAAGTCTCGCCTCAAGACCCTCCTCTTCGACCATGCCATTGGTGTCATCCGCATACGTATGGAAATTTACCCCATGTCTGCAGTTGATGTCACCAACGGGGAGCATGTAGAGGGTGAAGAGAAGCGGACTAAGGACAGAGCCCTGAGAAATGCAGCACGAGACGGTGCGGGGGCTGGAGGAGTAGCTGTTTGCAGAGAAACAGATGAATAGTCCCATAGAATGCTTTAATTGCAGTTCACTGTATGCTCAACCTACAGTGTTGAAAAATCCTTTTAAAGTCACTGCAGAAAATCTTAGTTACTTTTATTGTCAATGAAACCTTCATGTTGTCTTTGAGTTGTTTTTTTCCTGTAAAGAAGCTTAATAATCAGTCTTAGTTATGAAATTCTAGGAAATAAACCTGGACATTTATATGCATCACAGTAAATAGCATGTTTTTGTGTGTGCTTATTTGTTAATTTAATGTTGAAACAGAATCAAAGAAATGTGTGGAACTGCAATACGACTTTGTCTATTTTATAATTTCCAAGCAATCCTGTTCAGCCCCACTTGTTTAAAAGAAATGCACAAAATGAGAATATATAGCAAACCTGTTTGGTCAATGGGAAGTTCACGTTCTTTCTGTGATGGTTTTTCTGTAAAGAGTTTCAATCATCAGTTCTGGTTATGTAATTCTGGACATTATTTGTTAAGCCAATTAGCAAGATTTCAAGTACAATGGTTTTCTTTTGAGCTTGATGTCTGCACCACATGTGAATAAAACAAATACACAAAATGGGAATACAGCAAACTTGTTACTTATTTGGTCAATGGAAAGTTCTCTTTGTGATGATGGTTTTCTTGTAAACAGTTCAAATGATCAGCTCTACTATGCAATTCTGGGGAGTACTGATAAGATAACATTACAACACAAGTATTGTCTGGTATGTGTGCATGTCTTAGAAAAAACAAAATATATTTCAGCCCAAATATTAACATGATTATGGTTGGAAGGATGTCACTAATTAGAATGGTTGTAAGTACTCCTAGTAATCTTCATACATTTTATATGGAGTTCATTATCTCTAATTTTGTATAAATTGGTAATGCAAAATATATTGGAGTATATCAGGTCTAAATCAAGACGGTTTCCCCTCAGTATCAACTTTTGTGGAGCTTTGCCATGTATTCCATATACTCTGAATACATTATTGGTTAGTTAAATCTTTATCCATCCAAATTTTCCTTTGGCATTTAGCTGCCCAGTGGCAGATAGACTGCACTGTTTGTGTTAAAGGAGCAGTGTCTTCATGAGAAAATATTTGGCAAACTTTTATTTCAATTCATTGGAAATAAATTGTTTTGAATGACGTGATCATGTCACGTGAATGCTATCAGGCTGAAAGCAATGTGGGGCTTCTCTTGCATTTTTTCCTTTCTCAAGCAAAGTTTACTGAAAGCTTTCACAGGAAAGTAATGTCACTTTAATGAAGGGGGAAGTGATTTCAAGAACTGCATGGAACAGCCGAGAACATTTTTTGTCAAGAATTTAATCGTGAGGCTTGAGTTTCCCAATGGATTATAGTACAACTTGAGTTGGGCTGTTTGTTGCAATGAGAGGATTGGTACAAGGAGTCTGGTACAATAAGATCTGATTGGAAGTTCAAACTACTTTATCAAAAACATCCATAAAAGGTGAAATCTCAAACCTTTGTCGATGGAAGGTTCACGCTCTCTGTACAGTGGTTTTCCTGTGAAGAGTTTCAATCATTAGTCCTCGTTTTGCTTTCTGACCTGTGATGACTTTGGCTTTCAAAGTAATGCACGTCAACACTTTGATATCTCATGGTGAGATCCACCATCAGCTGTAACTTGGATAGTTCGGGACCTGCCAGGGTTCACTGGGCCAGATCAATCCTAGTTTGCACAGAGGACAGTGAACAACTAGAACAGGTTACTGGTAATTGTGGTGAAAGCCAGGACACTGGATTCGCTTACAAAACAATTTCATTTCATAATGAAAAGAAGCTAGAGTGCACATTTTAATTAAATGACTGAAAGGCTTTCTTTTTTCAAACCTCTCTTGTGATCTTGTAAAGTTTTCTTTTTTTAAAAAAAACAAAGCGTCTCTAATGGTCCAGTGGGCAATAGCACGACGCAATGAAGACAAAAGATATAAGGTTTGAACTATTTTTCACCAGGCAAGTGTTGAGTTGCTCTATAGTTTGTCTCAGCATCCCTGGATTGACAATAAGACAACATTTCTATCCTTGACAGCTGAGCAAGTGTAGATTTCAGGTGTGGACTGTATTAGGCTTGGCTTTGTTGCCTCCCTGTCAACACTCGCATGACTTATCATCACTTGGATAAGTTATTGAAGGTCGGCAGGTAGCCAAGAAACCATAGCTTGTTAGCATGAGAGAGAGTCAAAAAGAATTCAGGAGAAAGGGAGGGAGGAGAAGAGAAGAAAATTGCAGAAAATAAGCTTAATATATTTTCAGAAAGTTAATACATCAAGCCTCCGTTACCTTTTTGGTCAATGGAAGTCTCTCTCTGTAGTTGTTCTCCTTTTGAGAGATTCAATAATCGGTTTTAGTTGTCAAATACTAGAAAATACTACTGGGAATATTCATAATTGATACACCTACCCTTCTTTGTTAAAACATTCTAATTAAAGCTAATTAAACCACCCTATCCTCCCTCGATACTCAATGGGTAATGGCATCACTTGGTGAAGCTTTAGGCCATACAGACCGGAAAGACCCAGGTTCTGGCCCTGTGCTGAGTTTGCTGATCTCAGCCATAATAGCAACTAGAATGCTACAATCACCCTCAGTATCCCTGGGCTAGGAAGGGGGAAACATCAGTCGGGGATCTTCCTTTTGTTAATTTTGTTCCTGCCAAAGTAGGCAAATCTTGCCATCAAAGCTCAGCTTTGTTCTCTGCCTCACCCCACGCTCATTGCCAAAAGCTCTCTTAGCCGAGAACTCAAAGTGAAATATTCTCCGGCGGAAGCAAAATACATTTAAGATAAAAGCTTCTGGGAAGGGAAGAGGAGTAGAAAGAAAAATGTTTAATGAAACAAAATTGTTATGGAAGCAAACCTTTGCTACTTCTTTGACCGGTGGCAGGTTCGCGTTCTCTTTTTCCTGTGAAGATTTTCAATCATCCGTTATGAAATTCCTGGAAATATTCATAATCTGACGCACCAATTAGTGAGCTTTACTGTCTATGTTTTTCTTTCGAGCATTAACATTGCTCTAATCGAACAACTACAGCCTTCAATATTTGTACAAATTGTGTTTCAATTGCCACAGCACTGGTTTCTATAAATTGATAATCAGGAATGTGGTTATAAATCAGAATCAAAGAATCATTTTGCTGTTTCAGAATCAAAGGATCGTTTTCTGTTTCAATAATTGAAAGTTTTGCCATTTCAAAACTGAAGTTTGAATTGACACACTTTCACTCATTTTTGCTCACTGTTAATAGTTACAACCTGAAACCTCTATATTTGGTATAAACGGCATGGGTTATTTGGCATAACATGTTTATTGAATTTTCATTTATTTTAACTCGCCCACCTCCCTGCTGCTTTTCTCCGGTACGAGAATCATCCTTAAAGGTAAACAAATTGACCAATCTTCATTTCAATTGTTTACAAATGCATGACTTGATGACATGAATCACTCACACCATTGAAGTGTAGTTAAATTATATGACTGTAAATGACGCATGTGTTTTTTCTCTGGCTCTTGCTCTGCCTCTCATCAAAATGTTTTTTTTTAATTTCTTTATACTTAAGGCAACATCTGTTTATGCAAAGCAGATAATCTCTTTACTGTAATTACAGTTCAGGAACCAAACTGTATTTTTCAATTAGGGATCTAATCTGAACAAGGTTTTTGCTCTTGAAGTAACTATATTGTAGTGTTTGTTACAATTCAAATTATGTTTTCCAGCATTCTGCATTTTTCTTTTTGCGTCTGTTATACTATAATGGGTGTCCAACTCAATGGTGACTCTATTTTTCATCTGCTTTTTTAAAAAGTTCTATTTAAGGTTAATACAATATAGCACCGGTTAGGTTAATATATCTGTTACCTTTTTGGTCAACGAAAGGTTCCCCTTCTCCTTGTTTAGCTGTAAAACATCAGGTTTACTTCTAAATTCTGCTTAATATTTAGAAGGGCACAAAGGTAATAATAAGCAAGGCAAGCAGGATTCTGGATTACTTTACAAAATCATTGGAGGTCATATTGTCAAGTCTTGCTCAAGCTCTACAATAGTATGATCAAACCTTACTAGGACGCAGATTGCTGTGACATAAGGCAAACACAGAAGCACTGCAGAGCGCAGAAATGTGGCAGATCCCAGGTTTATCATGAAAAACAGATGAATAGAGACATTTTTTTTGTAGCTTTGGAAAGACATCTCATAGGATGGAAAAAATGAACCTGGAGTAAATAATTTAGATTCACCAAAGCAACAGGACAAGTGAGAGAGGTTCAGGGTTGGGAAGGATGATTTTAGTACAGATGCAGTATCTCTTTCCAGCTCAAATTGATTATCAGGGAGTTTGACTGAAGCCAAGACACTAAGTAACTTAAGAAACCACTTGATGGAAAGCCTTTCTTTGGGATGGATGGAATCAAATGGCTCCAAAACCCTTCTTAATTTGAACCCTTTCATCAAAACAATGTTTCTCTAAGAAAGGTAAATTGAAATCCTATTTTGTACCGTCTTGCATGCAACATTTTTCCATTTTAAGAATTTAATCTTAACGGTTAGAGTTCGCAGACTACTTATACTGCAATAAACGCCTGTTTCAATGAGAAACGTTTGAACATTTAATGTACTTGTCCTAAATATATTCATAAAAGATGAATACACTACCACTTTGTTCAATGGAGGGTTCATGTCCTCTCTGTGATGTTGGTTTTCCGGTAGGAATGTTAATCATCTTTTATCGCTGGGACATTTTAGAAATATTCATGTATTCATGACATAATATTGCAATCGACAGCATTGAGCATATGCATTATTGGACTGACGTTTTATCAATCTCAATCTCACTGACCAACCTGGATTCAAA